AAGGATATATATAAGTTCCAATAAGATGGATCATAAAAGGAGTAAATATGTAAATTTTATCTTAAGATATTATTGAAAACTGAAAAATGATAGTGTGGGAATTAATATATTGATGATAAAAAATGTTATAATTCATGCAACATGCTATTCATTCTAAATAAAAAGCTAACTTATATGATATTGGGGGTTTTTATAAGAAGATTGAGTTCACTAAGAAAAATATAAAGAATGCATGATATAGATGAAGAAGAGCAAGAATTAATTACAACTAATAGCAAGCCAATGAGTAAAATAAACATATATATTTTTAATCATTTTATATAAGTTTATGTTTTTAATACTTTTAGCATAGGTGCACTATTTTACCTTTACTTTTAATGTTAATATTCATTCTCTTATATAGCCACTATTCTTATTTTTTTATTTATGATAATATTAACTAAACAATTGTTTAATCATATTTGTCTATGGCATTTGATAAGTGGAGATGAGCCTCTTAAAAAATATACATAACTTATTGCAATCTCTATTTACCCAATTAGAAGTAACAAATTTGAACTCTTTTAAGAATGCAAGATCTTCCTTCCAATTACCTCCTAATTGTTGAAGAAATTTGATAATGTTGCAGTTATCTCCTTCAATAATCAGCCCTTTAAACTCTTCCATAAAATCTGTTTTTTAAATCGTCCTTTGCTGTCTCGTATTACTCCTCCAACTCCAACTTTGTATGATTTCAAGAAAGATGCATCCACATTTAACTTTATCCAACCGGAAGGAGGGTGCCAACGATCCAACAGTCTATATGACTGATTGGAACCCCAGTTTTCCAGTTTGCTTTTACGATTCTTCAAAGCTATCGATGCAAAACTTACAGAATTTAATGCAATCAAGATAGCGCTATCAACCTTCCCTCCATGAACAAATTTGTTTCTAGCCCGCCAATTTAGATATATGAAATTACATTACACATTGATAATGAACTTGTGTTTGCCAGCATTTATATCCATCCATTCAAAGACTTGAATCTGTTACTTATCTTTCTCTTTCATCAACATTTATTTCTGCCATAAAATCCACTACAAAGAAGGGAATTATAATCAATAATAGAATTAATCATACATCCAAGTGTACTAGGAAGAGCACCATTATGTAAGAAATTAATTATCATCATTATTATCCCTTTAACTAAAAAAAAACAATTTTATTTTATTATTCAAATATGAAACAATATATTATTTTTTAATAGAAAATTTGTGAATAGTAGTTACAAATAATATTAATCATCATAAAAATAATTATTATGACATATTTAGCTTTCAATGAGAGATGGTCGAAATTACAAATAATGAAATAAATTTGGGATGTCCTTTCCTCCACCTTTTATCGAGGGTAAATTATTGTGTCCGGTGTCCGGATTCATCCAGACACCAATAAAAACACGCCACGTCACTCAAAAATACCGGGGCCAGTTGCATCCGGGTGAGGTGGCGTCTCTGGATTGGCTGTCCGCATGTCAGGTGACCGGACGCAATAATTTGCCTTTATGGAGGCTCTAATGCATCTAAACGAAATTTTAGATGCTTTATAATACATGATTCTCTTCAATTAAGTAACGTGGCAGTCATGAATCAAACCATGATAATGCTTATAAATAAAATGAATGTGTTAAATAATATAAGCTATGATTCATTGATACTTCTCTTCAAAAAGGTGTGATGTGTCTGATACATATTCTAGACAACACGAGTCTGGCACTTCGACACGTGTCGGACACGCCGAAAATATGTTCAATTAAAAAATATTAAATATAAATTGGACTCGCGTGTCGGACACACTTTTTTTAAACATTTTATGAATTTTCTAAATATAATTTTGTGTATTTAAAATTTTTACTTATTTAAAATATAAAAACTAAATTTTTTATTTTATATCTACAACACCAAATCAATACCCTGCACTCAATGCACCATTCATAGAATATTCTCATTTTCATTTCTTTTTGGCAGGTTACGACTTTGATTTCACACCAATATCTAATGTTATTTCAACATCGACGTCTAGCATCGTTATGTCTGACGTCGTTACAATATCAATATTTCAAAATGATCTCTATATCAAAGTCTGATACTGTCTTGGCATTGATGCTCGACGTTAGCTATTTCTATACCAAAAACTTGACATCTCATCTTTGTCTTATGCCTTCTCAACATCGACGACCAACGCCCTCTCAATATCGACGATAAACACTCTCTTAACATTGACGCCCGGCTCTTGACAACATTGTCGTCTCCTCTCTGGATGACTGATAAACAATATCAACACCGCCCAAAGATGACATTAACATATTAAGCCGAGTACAAATTGCTTATGAACATAAAATGTACTTAAATATAAATGTATTTATGTAAATGTATTTCTATAAATAATAGGGTGGAAGGTTTGGATAAATCCATGCATACTTCCCAATGCACAGTGTAGACTGCTTTTCTCCATTCCCGCAACTGTTCCATATCAGAGCTCCCTTCACCAACCATTATTGAACTGTTGAAACTTGTAAACTAACCTAAAATTCTTCAGTCACGTGAGCTATAAATTTGATTTTAATTTGAAACCAAACTTTGACAAAGTGTTGATTGAGAACAATCTACCTTACTGCAAATGCATTGGTTTGGTGCAAATGGAGAAATTTTGTTATTTTTGCTTAGATGAAAGAAATAGATGTCTTTCTCCTTAGATTTTACAATTTTGTTCCCCCTAACATAGCCCCTTTGAAATAATAATGAATATTATTTAATATCATAAAGTTTTTGGTATTTATAACCATCATTTACCTTCTTCAATTAAAGTAAACATTATTAATTATAAAGGTGAAAAAAGGAATTGAGATGGCAAAATGACAACAACAACATCAAATCTTATCCTGCTACGCGGGGTCAACAACATGAATCTTTTTTTTTCTTTTTTCTATTATGTTTTTTTAAGAGTTAGATTCTCTTTTAAATCTAATAAAAAAAACTCATTTTTGATACTTTATAACAAAGTCGGTTCAAGTCTACCTCTATATTTCTTAACATGGGACAAACCTAATACATCTACTCTCATAATCGAGTCATCAAAAGGTAGAAGTTTTATGAGGCCAAACCATCTAAGCCGGCTCTCTTTGATCTTATCTGCCACTGGGGCTACTCCAATCTTTTCACTTATATGTTCATTTTGTATTTTGTCTCTAAGAGTGAAGCATCTCATCCACTTGACCATCTTCATCTCTACAATACTTAACTTTATGCTTCTCTTTTGATGATCAATATTTTGCATCATAAAACATTGTGGGTCCCACCACTATCATATAAAATTTCCCTTAACTTTGAGAGATAGTTTTCTATCACACAATAGGCTCAATGTATTCCTCCACTTCAATCATCTAACTTAAATTGTACTAATAATATTTCCATCTATTTCATCATCACTAGGAACAGTAAATCTCAAATATCTAAAACGTGTACTCTTTTTAATATTTAATCGCCCAAAATTACAATCCCCTCACTAGATCTATTACTCGTTCTCTTGCAAATGTCTAGTAAGAGCATTCATGACTAAAGCAAAAAAATATAGACCTAAAGCTTTTCTTTGATATAATCCAACTAAAATAGAAAAATACTCAATCAACCATCTTATACAAATAAGAACTCTCGCATGCATATCCTTAATGACTTAAATATAAGCATTATTAATTCTTTTTTTTCTAGAACTATTGAGAGGGCAAACTAACCTCGTAAATAATATGGCTAAATATTAAATTATAGTCACATATTTTTTAAATACGATCAAAATATATTTTTATTACAATTTTTATTTTGTAGTTATTCTTTGAATTGCGCCTATCATTTAAGAAGCTAAAAAATATAAAACTAAAGATAATTATACTAAAAATATATTTTATGTATCTGTAGTTTAAAATATCAGTGGTGAGCTCAGGTAAGAAAAAATATGGATTTCACATTGTTTGTACCTTTCAGTAAGATTGTTACAATCATAACAACTTAATTAGATTAATCCAATATCTAAAACAAATTCCCGATCATTCATATATGGCCAATATAATATCAAAATATTACGTTGCTCCAATTTAATCTCTCAACTATATAAAATTAATCTAAAATAATTACTTTGAAATCAAATTGATATAATTTTTATATAGTTGAGGTACTAAATCGAGATTAATTTTATCACAATTATAAGATGAGAGTATTGCGTACCAATTTGTATAATTAAGTGATGAAGTAGAAGCAATTTTGTATAATATGAGACAAAATTGGCCGTGCATAAACAAATTAAAGACCATGTTGAAATCTCTCTCTTTCTCCTCATTTGATACTTTTTTTTTATTGCTTTATAACGTAACTTTTTAGTACAAAAATTTTTGAACTACAAATTTATACTAAAAAATTGCCCTAAAAAGCAAAAAAAAAAAAAAAAAAAATTGTCCAAGATAAAACCTTTCTCACTATCTATCTATATATATAATTCTTCTACTATTCGTATATGACTAATTTAATTCTAGAATATCACGTTGCTCTAATTTAGTCTCTCTACTATAAAATTAATCCAAAATTCTCTCTTTGGGGCTAAAGTAAGACCAGTTTTACATATTCGAGGTATTAAATCGAAATCATATAATGGGGTATTTTGCATCAATTCTATATAATTGAGAGACTAAAATATAGCAATGTGATACTATGAGATTAAATTTATCATACATAAATAATCAGTGGGGACTATGCTCTCTCTCTCTCTCTCTCTCTCTCTCTCTCTCTCTCTCTCTCTCTCTCTATATAAATTATGCACAAAGCGAAGATCATAATAGTCGAAATATCTCAGAAAACACGATCTAAGCCAAAATAAAACATTGACAAGGGACAAATAGGACACAAAGAAAGCCTTCTAAGCTGAAAAAAAATGAGTGAGTTGTTGATATACAAGAGAGAAGAGATACCTGGAGAAATTTCTCAGTCGCCACAGGAACTCGCCTGGCACCACTCCTCCCACTCACGACCACAACAAGCAAAAAGAAAAACCCTAACACTCGCTCACAATCCCTTCGCACGATTAGAAAAAAACCCAATAAGTGATTCGGTTTGAAGAGTTAGCTTATGCCTTGCGCCTTACGCCACTTCGATGAACAAACTCGAGCCGCACGATGAGTGATCAAACCGAGCTTCATCTCGATCAAACTCAAGCTCAATATTCAACGAGCTCAAAAATATGCTCAAACTCGAAACTCGATAAATTCAACTCGCGAGCTCGTTAACGAGTCAAATTCAAACCAGCTCGCAAATTTACTCAACTCATTTGCACACCTAGTCGACATTACTTCCGGCTGCCTTCAAACACCAGCCATCAGGAATCAAGCTATTAGTTTCAAACAAAAGGATAAGAGAAAAGAGAACTCTCTTCCGGTAGACATGCATCACAACAACATCAGAAGAGAAATCACTTGTAGCAGCTCAATCCACAGCGTTTCCACAATACTTTTCCAAATATCAAAACAGAGAAAGTAGTTAGCAGAAATTTATTAAAAAAAATAATAATAAAACTAAACGTTAAACACAAGAAATGTCAGTAGGAAGGGTCCAAGGGATTCCAATAGATCAGATATATCAAATTTGAAGGCAAATAGGGAAGGCAAAGTACCATCCAACTCTAGCATATTAATACAAAGCACATGGAAGAACACAAAATAGTGGATAAAAACTAACATACAATAACAACAACAACATCAAGCCTTTATGTCAATACGTGAGATCGATTACAAGAATTCTTTTTCTCCATTGTGTCTTATTAAGAGTCAAATTCTCATTTAAATCTACAAAGAAATATCATTTTTAATATTTTCTAACCAAATCTTTTTAGATCTACATCGATCTTTTTTAACATAAACCAAATCTAATATATCTACTATCCTAACTGGGTCATCAGAAGGCTGGCGTTTTATGTGAAAAAATAGGCATAAAACCAACTCCATTTAACGAAAGACAAATAGAGAAGAGAACAAAATAGCTCTAGCAAGCTGTGGCTTACTAGTAGAGATTCCAATTAGAATAAAGCCCTCTAAATAGGACTGAAATATTTCACTCTCGTTGATGCAAAATTATACACAATAATGTGCATGATCCCACTGGTCAAAGGAGCAGAGGCAGGGGATGGAGACATACCAACGAGGAATCCATAGAAACAAACCATTAGAACAGGTAAAACAAGAAGAATAATACCATGCAATAGAACACAACCTAAAAATAAGAAGCCAAAATGAAATAGTGAATGCCCATAGAGATAAAAAAACTCACAGCGATGGAACTCAATAGCAGCACCGGATAATCCAACAATAAGCACTAAATAAACCATTAATTACATAGAAATGAAGAAGCACAGTGACAACCACCAGTGATTTCAATCAGGTATATCAGGAAACAAAACTAGTCCTTGGTACTGAAAACATTCACTCACAAGGTTTTCCATAATAGATAAATTTGCTATGTTGCACGGATACACCTATTTATGAGGCATGCTGTATCGGACACGTATCGGATACGGATACGCCTCCGATACGGCACGGATAAGTGTCGGATACGGCTTTGTCGTGTCCAATTAAAATACTATTTAAATTTGATCGGGCATGCGTATCCGATACGCGTGTCCTATTAAAAAAAATGGAGCCGCAATTTGCCTATTCATTTCGGCTATCCGCTCGATATCCCTATTCATTTATGCGGCTTAAACATTTAGGCGAGCTAGGTTTTTCGTTTCCGCACAGGTGTTCATCTTCTTCGTTATAGTCGAAGGAGCGGCTCGACGACGCGAGCATAGAAGCGGACAGGATCATCCTTCTTTGACAAAGAGGCTTGACGACGCGAGCATTAAAGCCGACAGAATCCTTCGTCGACAAAGCGACTCGACAACACGAACAGTGAAGGCGACGTGAGCATTGAAGGTTCATTTTCTTCATTCTTTGTTTTCTTAATCGTAGGCTCGGTACCGGAACTCGGTACCGCTCAGTACTCGGTACCGCTCGGTACTACTCGGTGCTCGGTAATGCTCAGTACTGCTCGGTATCGCTCGGTACAGAGGGGTACCGAATGGTACCAAGCAGTACCGAGAAGGTAAAGAAAGCTTTAAAACAACTCTTATAATAAAATTTTGTACCAAGCAGTATCGAGAAGGTCGAACCCCGCCAGGGGGCAGTGCAACCTTAGACCCCCGGCATAGGCGCAACATATCTACACTTTTAATTAAAAATTTTCATGTTTCAAATTCATGTGGATTAATTTATGTCGATCATTCGTAGGATAATGAGCTCTAGTGATGTAGGAATTGGGTCTACTGATGGTCCATCAGAGGCTAATATTGAAGATACAAACCTATGTGGTGTTATGTGACAAAAATAGGTAAAACGTCAGAAGGGGGTGGCAATATTGCATTCAAATGTAATTTTTGTAATGCCACATACAAAAGATCATATTATAGAATGAAAGCTCATTTGTTGAAGATTAGTGGTCATGGAATTAAAGTATGCCCAAGGTTTAAAATTGCGTAATTAAGCCTCGAGGCGGTCTGAGGCATAAGCCTCACGGACACAGAATTGCGTAAATGAGAAATTAAGAGTTTTAGCAGGTAAATAATAACAATATTCTATCTTACAATAAAAACATCTAAATGATATATGAAAATAGTGAAAAGTAAGAAAATAGATGCAATAAAATCACGTCCCAAAGTACAAAATCAAAAAATATTAGTTTAACAAAACTCCCAAAGTTGAAACAGCGGTGGAGTATTCATGAGCTATCTACGTTGTTTGCATTTATGTATGCTTTCTTAATAATGCCCTTAACATTTTTGTATTAGCATTCTTCTTTACAATTTTCATTTTCTATTGTATGTCAATGTTGCATGCATTTCTTTATGTTTTCATAACAATGACCTCGATTATGCTTTTAAATTGGTGTTTAATTTACCTTCAATTCCTAGATACTTTATTTATTGTAATGTCTAATTGTGAATACTTGATACTAGCAAAATTTAAAAGATTTTATGATTTTATCAATGCGGTGAACACCATAGCATTGTTACAGCATCCCCAACTTTGTAAGTTGCTTGGTTTCCATGCACGTGAGGGTTCTGATCAAAGAATGTTGGTCTATGAGAGGCTCTACCATGGAAGTTTAGACCGATTGCTCTATGGGAGATCTGATGGGCCAACAATTGACTGGCCTGGACGGATAAAGCTGGCCATTTGTGCTGCACGTGGCCATTTCTGTGAGGCGTACAACTCACTCAGAATTGCGCAATTGCGCCTCTGAGGCGCGTCTCATACCAGGTGAGGCGTACGCCTCTGCCAGGTGAGGAATTGCGTAAGCCTCGAGGCGTTTTTTGGTCAAATTGCGCAGAGGCGCGCCTCTTATTGCGCAATTTTAAACAAAGAGTATGCCCGAATATAAGCTCATCACAAATGGATGAATTGCAAAGAAAAATCAATGAAGTTGAGCAAAGGAGTAAAAAAGAGCTTCCAAAACATATTCCACTTCCAAGCACTCATGCTTCATATACTTCATCATCTTCTTCAATTAAAAATGATGACAGTACTGTTAATAAGGGGCCTTTTCGGATAGATGGACCAAAAGAAGAAAACATGTTGTAGATAGAGCTTTGAAGAAAACATTTAATTTATAAATGAGAGAACAACTAGATAGGGAAATAGCTAGAATGTTTTACTCAGCTGGACTTCCTTTTAACCTAGCAAGGAATCCACATTACAAGAATGTCTTTACCTATGCATGTAATAATAATCTTGCATAATACGTGCCACCTGGATATAATGTCATTAGAACGAAGTTGTTGCAAAGAGAGGGATAATATTGAGAAGTTGCTCGAGCCTACTAGAGGAGTTTAGAAGGAAAATAGGAGTTACTTTGGTTTGTGAAGGGTGGACAAATCCACAAAGAAGTCCACTTATCAACTTCATGTCTGTAATAGAGAGTTATCCTATGTTTATCAAAGTTGTAAACTGTGAAGGACAGTATAAGGATAAGTTCTTCCTTTCTAATTTAAGCAAAGAAATTATCATGATGGTGGGGCCTTCAAACATCATCCAGGTCATTACTGATAATGCACCTGTTTGTAGAGCTGCAGATCTACTTGTAGAGCAAGCATATCCTCATATTTTCTGGACATCATGTGTTGTGCATACGCTTAATCTTGCCTTGAAGAACATTTGTGTAGCTAAGAATACAGAGGCAAACGAAATCACCTACAATGAATGTCATTGGATAATAGTGATTGTTAGAGATGCATTTGTAATTAGAAATTTATTATGAATCACTCCAAGAGACTCTCTATGTTCAATGATTTCCCTAATTTGAAGATACTTGCAGTTACTGAAATTCAGTTTGCCTCGGTTATAGTGATGTTGAGAAGATTAAAAAAAAATGCTCTTCAAGCTATGGTGATCAGTGACAAATGGTTCAGTTATAGGGAAGATGTTGGAAAGGCTAGATATATAAAGGAGAAGTTTTTAGATGATTTATGGTGGGATGAGATTGAATACATCATAAATTTCACAGATCCAATTTATTGTATGTTGAGAGTGGCTGATACGGATAAGTATTGTTTATATCTCATTTATGAGATGTGGGATTCAATTTTTGCCAAAGTAAAAGAAATTATATATAGACATAAGAGGAAAGCACTTCATGAAGATTCAAGCTTTTAGGATGTTATTTATACTATTCTAAAAAATAGGTGGAGCAAAAGTAATACAGCTTTACATTGCTTGACTCACTCACTAAATCCTAGGTAAATTTCAACATTTTTCATTATTAATTCACAATTTGTTGTTTAGTAATTTTAACATTTTTTCATTATTTCATTTTAATATTTTTTGAAGATATTCAACTAAAGAATGACTTCAAAAGGATCCTCAAAGAATTTCTCCACAGAAAGATTTAGAAATTTCAAATATGAGAAAAACATGTTTGAAGCGTTATTTTTCAAATGAGGAGAGAAGAAAAGTCAATATTGAGCTTGCTAAAATTTTTGGTTATTTAGAGGACTTTGGTGACCAAGAGTCATTGCGTGATAGGTGAAGAATTGATCCGAAAATGTGATGGATTATACATGGAGCTTCAACACCTCTACTTCAAACAATCGCTATAAAATTGCTTGGCCAAGTTTCATCCTCATCTTATTGTGAAAGAAATTGGAGCACATACTCGTTCATCCAATCAATGAAGAGAAATAAAATTACTCCACAATGGGCTGAATATTTAGTTTATGTGCATACAAACCTTCGGCTTCTCTCAAGGAAAACTCCAACTTATATGGAAGGAGACAACAGGATATGGGATGTTGCTGGAGATGGATTTGAATCTCTTGAGGATATGGGAATATTAGAAATTGCAAATCTTTCACTTGATGAGCCTGAATTAGAAGCTATGATATTTATTGAAGATGATATAGAAACTCAAAGACAAACCAC